AATATATGTATTTTTTCCATTACACTTGTTATTTTAAACAAATATGTGATGGAAGAATGTAAAATTGATGCTCTGATATTTTTATATATATATATATATATATATATATATATATAATATATATATATATATATATATATATATATATATATATATATATATATATGTGTATATATTATATATATATTATAATATATATTATAATATATATTATAATATATACATTTATATAAATATTACATTTATTTATATATACATTTATATAGACATTCATATATATATATATATATATATATATATATATATATATATATATATATATATATATATACTATTATAGTGAAACTAATACCTAATGTACGTTCTGATTCTGTATTTGAACGTATTCCCATTAGAAAATACGAAATAGCTCAGAATTTGGACTTCGAAACAATGGTTCAATGGTTTAATCGTCAAGAATGAGTGTTCGCTTCTAATCTATTAAAATTACAAAATATCTAATATGAATGCTTTAATTGGTTACGCAAATGGAACTATTCCCAGGAAAATTATTTCCTGTAATATAGGAAATAGTAGGATAATTATTCCTTAATTATTTTATATATATTTTTTTAAACTTGTTTATTGAAAAATATTACAATCTGTCGCAAGGACATTTATAAGAGTGTTCACATTCACACTCTTATTTTATATTAATAATAATTATTATAATTTTTAATTTATTGTTAAGTTCCTCGACAAGATTCTAGGCAAGCTTGGAGCAGAAGAGCTGGAATGCACCCGTCTTATCGACAGAGTATTGCAATACAATTGAAAAGCAAATTTGCTCCCCTCAAAAATTCAAAAACTGGTCAAAATATGCCCCTCAAAATTTTGATGCCGCAACTTGCGCCGTGAAACTCGCATCTGGGCACCCCTGGAACAAATCAATGAAATATCGAACGATCGAGATATATCGAGACCAAACTTACGATCTCTCAGAAAAAATAGATATTATGATATAATTAATATTAAAAAATAACTCTCACGATAACTTCAGAAATCAAATTACAAAATTGACATTCTTTAATATTAATAACTGATATTTAGAATTAATTTCTGTTACAAATGGGGTTGTAAGTGAAATTTGTGTGATGCGCGCATTGCACAAGGTTTTTTTTTTTATAACAGTGTTAGAATATTATTTATTTTTCACTGTACGCTAGTTGTTTGTGTTCCACTTTGATTTAAGAGTCAGAATTTGGGATTTGGACACGTCAACAGAACCGGTTCTTCAAGAATTCAGGCAATGGGTATTTGAGCCGAGAGTTACAAGGATTTTGCAATATGTCGCTAATGCCACTAATACCATGGTGTTGGCTAGAGTTAGGACCCAACTTCGCTCCAACTAGAACACAAAGAAGGGTCAGATACCCCGCCACGCCATACTCCTTTGTCTAGGGGGAACCTGGCTAATTTCATTTTATGCAAATTGGAATCTACATTTTCTCTCTCTTTTTTTCCTAGTTTAAAAGTGATTTGCATTATTTTTTATTTTTCAAAGGAGACGGATTGATGTTGTGAGATAAATATGTATACACTACTAAAATAAGCAAAAAGCTCGAAAAGAGACATTATCAACGGAATAATCCAACATTAAAACAACATGATTTCTTAAAACATTAAACTCACTTTTCCAGAACAATATTTTTTTATTTTATTTCCTTCACAATTTAAATAGGTTTGGTTTTATATGCTTGATGAATAATACAATCATAATAGATTGAAAATGCGAAATCGTTATTACTTACATTTGATTTTTGTTAACTCTCAGTGGGTTTTATGTTGATCTTAATTTATATATACTGCTCGAAAATGAATAGAGATTTCTCTAGTATTTGTATTTTTTTTATCGTAAAATGCATTGAAAATTAATATAAATGAGATTGTATTTGATCTCGTTAAATTTTATAAAAGGTGTTTTTAAAAAAATAATAAAATTGTGATCTTGTTTATATAATTGCGAATTGTAAACACTTTGTAAAATTTAATAATTTGTGTAATATCCTCTGTTACGCACTACGCCTCTGCACCTATAGTGTATACTGCTTATAATATTGTCACGGATTTCACAAGGAATTTCATACCATAAACATGGTAATACTCCTCTTAGTTAAGGAGCTGCAGACGGTGATCAAAAAGCCTTTCAGATTTTCAAGACATTGATGAACAACTTTATGAGGTCGCGTATTGTCGTCAAGAAACTGGAAATCTTTACCCATTATGGCCCTGGCTTGAGGAATGTACTCCTCTATAATCTCTTGAACTGCAATGGGATTACCTTCCACAATATAGAGTAGAGTCCGTCCTCCTGAGTAGATTGTACCTTTCGACGCATTGAAGGAAGCACAGACTGTGGCAGTGTACCCATCCTCCGTTCTCGGTAGACTCTTCGGCGCTACGATCACTATAAATACAAAAACACGACATGTCTGTAAACATAGCATTCCAATTTGTATGCTTGTCTAGGCGCTCGCTGCACTATAATCTGCGGAGTTGCCAGTGACTGTTGTTGTAGGTCGTTTTAAAGGAGTATAAGATGTTAGACCAACTTCCCGCAAACGATTACTGATGGTTTGTTGGTATGGGCCTTTGCATAACATTCAACACTTCATTTAAGCTCTGTCGGTCAGTATAAAAATGGTTACTACTATCAGTAATACCAGTATTTCTGCCACCCATTGGTGCATTATATGCTGAGATGAATTAACAGGTCTCCTATTGGTACTTCCGGGTTTTGTGAATATGGTTAAAGCTCGGGAGATCGCTCATTCTCACGATAATATTACAAACTTCAATGTTATGTTTTTCCTTCTTTAAACCGAATATTACTGAACTAAAAATGAAAATAGTCGTTAAATGCTGGTTTAAATTGAATATTATCCTTTAGTTGATAATTTATTTAAAATAAAGAATACTTGTTGCTTACTCTTTATGTCTATCTATAAATAAGAGAATTCGTAACGAACAAAAAAAAGGGGGGTATTTTAATCAAAACGAATAATATAAGCATCAAATAGACATATCCTCATTCATTTTTTAGCAACAAATTATATGTATATTTATTTACAAATATCATGTACATCTATTATAGGCATACGAGTACATAAACCGACACACTCACCCCACTCTAGCCCCAACACTTAATTCTAGTGTAGGCGTATGATGCTGTTTACATTTCATTACAGTTAATTCACGTCCTTGTCAAGTTTGCTCCAAGGATATCCGTATCGTGGTTTAGTGTTTGTTCTAATACACATAGTTCTCTTCCTTGTATGATGACCGAAAATCCTTGCCTAGATTGTTCGTCTTTACAGGGAATACATTAGTTACTTGTCGATTTAATAAATTAGTTCACGAGGACCTAGAATTAAAACCCTGAGTCGAAATTTTGTAATAATCATTTTTGTTTTAATATTTCTAATGGAATTTTGCTGAAATAATATCGCCAAATGGTGATTTCTCGTGTTTTTAAAACTTGTTGATTTTCTAAAGTCCATTTCTTAATAAAGTAAAGATCTATACGAGGGCTCAAATGCACATCTGCATCTGATCTAATGCTCTGCAAAGTAGCTTATGACAATTTCTATTTATTGCTTACATATATCCGTTGTAAAATCTGTTTCTTTGATATTTTCCGAAGCCTACTATCGGACAAAAAAAAAGAAGTGGATTTTGACTTTTGTCTGTTGTAATAATGCCCTTTCTCAACTTTTGTAGACAACATTTTTTAGTATATGGAGGAGGTGTGTACAGTTTCATGTTGACTTAAAAAAAAGTCATGTTCAAGTAATGCAATGTTTACGCATTTGGTCCCCCACCGCCCTTCTTCCCCCCACCTTCCTCCTCCCCCACTTCCCTTCTTCTCCCCCACTTTCAATGTAATTTTGAAGAGTCCTCGCTTTGAGTTGGGAAACTAGTGTAAATTGAGTTGTTAGGGTTGATATTATTACCGCCTGCGACTAAACGTTTTCTCCAAACAATGTTTCAAGTTTTCAACTCTTGGACTATTCTGAAAGCAGTTTTTTTTATTTTATTTTATATATATATATATATATATATATATATATATATATATATATATATATATATATACATATATATTTATTTATTTATTTATTTATATGTAGATGAAGAAATCAATATTTGAAAGTAAAACAAATTTCATAAAAAGTAACATAAAAATACTTCGTAAATTGCTAAATATATGTTTATGTTTTTGCTGGTTCAAGTATTTTTAAACGGTGCCGTGGGGAAGTGATAAGATATCGACGAGTATTAATATAGTGCTCGTGTTCGATCGTTAGGTGCCAGTAGGCCATGAAATATTTCTGTTGCCTTTCCTCAGCGTGTTATTAATGCAACGAACCTTTTCTAACTTTTTCTAAATCGGATAAAACGTAGTATAAATGGTAAATGAGTTGAATAATTTAAAGGCTGTTTTTTTTATCTTCAGGATCATGAAAAATAAATAAAATATTATTCATTTATTTGACTGTTTTTGTTGCATCCACCCTGGAGGGTCATTAGAAACAACTTTTACTTAATTTAATTATTTTTTTCCTATATACAGTAGTATAATGTCTTATTAGATTTTTCTTTGACTAATTTGTCTATGCATAGGTAGTCTACGATAATGTGTAAACTAGGTCCACTAGAAACAAATATTGCTTCTCTAAAATTACTTACTTATCACTATTTATATTGACTATAATGGACATCATATTGGGAAATTAAAATACAAACACACACACACGTATATATATATTTGTGCAGATAAAAAAGAGGTAGCCTAAGACAGACAGAGATGGAGCAGGCTTGTTAAGTCGGCAAAAGATCTACATGATCTGTAATTCCACCAGAAAAAAAAAAAAAAAAAAAAAAAAAAAAAAAAAAAATATATATATATATATATATATATATATATATATATATATATATATATATATATATATGTATATACACATATACAAAAAAAAATTATCACTGGATTTGTTTTATATTTTTTTTTACTTTCGGTTGCATCGCCAACTAAATTCTTTTGCCAAATATATGTTTTATTTTCTTCATAAGTCCCAAAGAAGATAATTTTTTTCTGAGGTATATAAGTAAGATTTGAAAACAGTATTGATTCAACCAACAATTTTTATATATGTTATATGTTTTATATCTCAATTTTTTTTTTTCCTAAAATGAAAATAAACATGTGAAGACAAATACATAATACTAGATATCTCTCATGTGTTAGTTTCTGAGCGGAAAATAGTCTGGGTTCCTTGTAAATAGGGCAGGGCATCCCTTCCGATGTAACCATCGCATCCAACCATTCCTCGGCTTCTTACTTTCATCGCTTCATGAATGGATGGAGCGAAAGTGCTTTCTCGTCTTACATGATGGCCTCCGGAGAAAGTGGGCGATGGTTGAATAGAAATTATCCTGCACCTTGTTTAATAAATTTAATGAAAACTGTTAGATTATTATTTAATGAATAAGATAAAGGCCGAATTACAATTTTACATTGCTGGCGCTTGAGGCGGCGTATAATGGAAGGAGGAAGGATAGGTTACGTCACGTAATGAAAGTTTGGTGAAAACGAGTACAGGCTATTCTGGTGTAAATCTCCTCAACATGTGATTAATATATAATATCAAACTGCAGAACCATCCGAACCCTCTCGTTTCAAACCTTGCTTCCTTCTCGATCCCTGACAACCATCTGAGGCATCTGAAAAGAAGATGGCCTCGGGACCATGGCTCTACCAATGGCTAGTTTCTCTTCAAGTTGTACATGTCATGTTACCAATGTCACATTTACTTGTATTTTCAATGTAATACAGTTGTAAATTTCATTTATATATATATATATATATAATTTTATCGGATTTATGTATTCTAAATTTTCTGTTCTTGAATGTACGATTCATATAAAAAAAATTAAAGTATATATCGAAGAAAAGGATGGTTGGGGTGATCTGTCAGAAATAAGAAGGCAAAATAAATAATAATATTTATTTTAACATTTGCCGACGTTTCGACCTGAAGTTCAGACCTTCATCAGGGCTAAGAAAAGAACCAGATAACAAGGTATGAGAAACATGAATAATGTAGGTAAAAAAAAAAAAAATAAAGGAAAATGAAGTGGGTAGAATAATGACAATAGTAAGAACTAAGAAATAAATAATGATAACCGTTACAAAGAATGGAATGATGAAGTAAACATAATCAAAAAAGGTGACATAAGTATTAAAATGGTAATCTTAGAATAAAATGTAAAACAGAAAAAAGGAATATGAAGTTATATAAGAAATGAGAATAAATAGTAAAATTAAGATATTGCACTTAGAATAGTTAGATAGAAAATTGAGATATTGTAAAGTCTATCAAAATATACTGACAACGTATAATATAATAACGAGTTAAAACAGAGAAAAGGAATGAAAGGAAGGAGGAAAAAAAATCAGTTTTTTTCTATTTAACTATTATATTTGCAATATCTTAATTTTACTATTTATTTTCATTTCTTATATAACTTCATATTCCTTTTTTCTGTTTTACATTTTATTCTAAGATTACCATTTCAATACTTATGTCACCTTTTTTGTTTACGTTTACTTCATCATTCCACACTTTTTAACGGTTATTATTATTTATCTCTTAATTCTTACTATTCTCATTATTCTACCCACTTCATTTTACTTTAATTTTTTTTTTAAACTACATTATTCATGTTTCTCATACCTTGTTATCTTGTTCTTTTCTTAGCCCTGATGAAGGCCTGAACAGCTCGAAACGTCGGCAAATGTTAAAATAAATATTATTATCCATTTTGCCTTCTTATTTCTGACTGATTACTCCCAACCATCCTTCTCTTCATTATTCACGACAGTCAATCATTATAAGGAATATATCCATTTAAATAAATAGATAAAAACTTTATTGAATTAGCTACTCAGTTATTGGTTGAGGGAACCCCGTATATGACTCCATTCGGATCGGTTGATTGCTTTCTAGATGACTCTCCTCTCTTGAAACACTACGAGCCGTATTTTGAAAGTATTTATGTATCAATTTTATTTTTTTACTAATTATAAGATGTTTCTCAACTGTGTCAATGATGAAAAACTCTATGTTGAAACAAATTAAAATGTTTATATTGTCTGTATCTTTTTTTAAAATTGAGATTAATCAATTGAACGTGCTTTTTCCAAGACTTGAAAATGGATCTAGGTAGCCCGAAAATTCGGTAAAAATAAAGAAATATAACTAAAAAGAATTATTGATGGCCATTATCCTTGATTTAAAAAAAAATATGAATAACGAATATTTTGGTCCCAAGGTAGCAAAAAAAGTTTCGATTTTTATTAATCTGAATTTAAATGTATTTTTTCTTTAAAGTTTGCTGAATGGCGCCCAAATATATTTTTTTTAAAACGTCTATATAATTTATCAGTTCGTTGTGGTCATAAAGATGAAAAAACGTTAACAAGGTTTTTGATGATTTTTACCTCAATAGACTGAGACTTATATTTTGAAATTCCTACTATAGTGATAATAACTTAACATTTTGTCCCGATTTAATATTTTATTCCCATTTTAATTATTTTTTCAATCTCATCCTTGGTATTTCCTTTGAGTTATACAATATTGTTGGTTAGCTTTCGTGGCTGTACCTTTATATTGGACCTTTCCCAATACACCATCGCTCTATTTCCGATACGCGGTGGAGGCCAGGGACGAAAGTTAAAAGCAAGGCCTACCTACACTTCTCTGTCCCTGGCAACAGTTCCAATTTAGTATTTTTATTTTTGTTTTCAAAGTAATGTCAGGGGGAAGGCAATTTATTTTAATATATAAATAAATATTAACAAGTAAAAAGTGATGATTTATATAATTAGTGAAATTTTAATTTCTTTGCGTTTGACAATTATTTTTTATAATATCAAATTCTCAAGTAGTTTATTGTTTATCGTATTAATAACACATAATTCCATATATATATATATATATATATATATGTATTGCTTTATATTTTTTCGACTGTTAAATAATGTATATTCTTTCCAAGGGATTTCGAGTTTTAATCAATGAATAAAGACCTTTATTTTTTTAGTAGACATATTTATTATAATTATACATATTTAATATTAGGAATACTTAGCATACATATTTTAAACGAGTAAAAATGGTCGATGAAGTTTACTTTTTAAAAACCTTTAAAAATTAATACTTAAAGGGGGGAAGATAATCCCCAAGAGGGTGCCATCACCCGAAATGCTTGATGAGGGCACATTTTGACGGGGTTATCAATTTTTAGAGGGAGCTATATTTTTGTCGGTTTTTCATTTTGTTGAACTTTCAAACTAAAGATCAAGGAAATTAAAAATGAACAGACCATTACAAGTGTAATTGTAAATAAATTTTCGCTTGCACGGTTTTTAAGAAGCTGAGAGCTTTACAATGTTGTCTTCACCTTTGAGGGGTATAGCACCTTCCGCTTCAAGGAAAGTTAGTTGGAAGGGGATTCCTTCTTTATGGGCAGTTGTTTTGGATCTTAATTTTCATATAGAATTGATACACTGCTGTCCTTGTTAGCAAGGTTGATATAGTATGCCAATGGAGGATCGATTCTGAAACCCTCGGCCCGATAAAATAATTAATATACAGAGATTTTCAGGGTTAATTGGCCATACTGCAGAAATGAACTAAGGACCTCAAAACAAGAAAAAAAAATCCTCTGAATGTTTTAGATTTAACCCTGAAACAGGCTGTATAATTAGTTGAAGCTAAACCAGTAAGAAATACAGGACGGTAAGGTCATAGCCTACGGATCATCAATTATAGAAACGCTCATGGAATCGACCATACTCATAGTTGCGATAATACCATTTTTAAGTAGGGATATTCTCATGGGATTTCATCGTTGGCCACGGTATGTCTACCCTAAATCGAGCTCTAGCTCTTGCAGTATTTCTGGTGCATCATAAATGAATTGCAACCTAAGCTCCCTTAAATAATTGCAACAATGATGTAGAGGATGTGGTCAAAGGGACCCTCCCCTCAAGAACCCTCTCTAGTTCACATGAAGGCCTCTTCCAAAGGACTTGTCTACCTAAAATTTGAACTGAAAACTGTTTAGCCGCCTCTTTGACTAATAGCATTGCTGCAAAAGCATTGATACTCCAACAATACATGCGTCTGAAAAGAAGATGGCCTCGTGATCTTCTCATGTAGACAAATTATTAGAGTGCTACCAGTGGGTAGTTTCTCAACAACCGTGTTTCATGTAATAATATTTCTCTGTACAAATTACCTTGATGTATTCATACTAATACAGTTGTAAATATCATAATAAAAGTTTAAAAAAAAAAAAAAATTGTTATCTGTTTCAGTATGAGTGAAATCTTTATTTTTTATGTTTTATTTTTTAAATTTTCCTGTTAAAGTATTACTGTACTTATATTTTTAAAAACTTTAATTAAAAAGTTCAGTTGATTTCGCCATAAAGTCGATTTAAAAAATTACTTTTATTTTCAGCTTTTCTAACAAACGACGACATTATAATCAAGTAATTCATGTATAGTAAATTATAACTACAATACCCTATTACTGTTTATTTCTTATCTAACGGAACTTTTTTTCAAATGTTAAATAAATAAAAATTTAACTTTTACTTTACACCTAGAATTTTATTACAAAGTCCCTTTTACTTTTATTTAAGAAAACGAATTTCCAAACAATTTTCGCTAAAACTGTTAAAATGGAACTTTTTATAAAGATTCCAGAAAAGTTTCATTCAACCCATGATTTCTACCTTTACACAAATACGTGTAATCTTGAATTGGGTTAAAACTAAATTTTTAACAGGAATCGACGAATCAATATTATGAATTGATTTCAATGTGAAAACATCCAATGAATCCGATGGTGCAAGAACGTTTTTTTAAAAAATGAACCCAAATATTGAAAATAAAAAATTGATTTTTCAAATGTTCTAAAGGAACTTCCATTTCTTTTGCATTCTTAAAAAAATAATTCACCAAAAGCTTCTTTAACCTTTTATTCAAATAAAAAAAATATTTTATTGTATTCTATTATTCCTTTTTTTTCCCTGAATCATACATCTTTTTATCTCTATAAAACTGAACCCCCATCAACCTTCCTTACACTAACGAGTTTTATTCGTTCCGAAAGCGGCCCTATTTAAGTTTTAATGTTTTTTATCACTATTAAAATAATCAATGATTTTCGGAAATAAATAATTTCTTAATTTGAATATTAAGAAGTTTTGGTTTTGCTATTGCCATTTCAATAAAAAATGTGCTTTTTCGCTGATGATTATTAGGCTCACTTTGGAATTAAATGACTCAATTACTAAAATACACTCTTATATATATTTTTTAATGGTGGTAATATTTTTAAAACGGGTAATATTTTCCTATAAACAAAAATAAAAATAATAAAATTTAGGATTTAACTTTGAGTAATAATAATACTTAATCCTGTTTTAATGATTCAACTGTGCATCCACAATTTTCAAGTTTGCCGGGGGTATATAAAGTTGATGTAACGATTACAATCAATTACAGAGTCTTTTAAAAATTAAATTATCTAACGTTTCAGCTTAACCATGAGGTCATCTTTAATGCTACAGACATACCATCGAAATAACCATCTCAGTTAACATTCAGGCCTTATTTAGTGTAATATTATAGTAACTATTAATTCTTTTTTGTATCACTTCGGCTGAGGACTAAAAAATCATTACTTCAACATGACTTTACTTCTAAACCAGAGAACAGAACTACCCAATTTAGACTGTTTTTGTTCACAATCGATATTTACCTTACTCCTTTCATCCTTAAATACCCTTTGTTCTCGAGTTTGATGGGTGAAAGAGGAGATAGGTGGCGGCTCAGCGGGCGGAAGTGACGCAGCCCCAGGGTACCGCTATATAACGATGACAAAAAAAAAAAGTTTCTGCGTTCTTATGCGTAACAACAGAGACCTTTTCAGGAAATCAGTGGGGATTGGTACCAAAACTGGAATATAAAGACCAAAACTAAAAAAGGAAATCATTGATGCCGGATAAAGCTCAGTGAGGAGACTTTAAAGTTAAAACTTCGTTTGTTATTGATGCTGTTGATGTGAGATGCGCTACATTTGGTCAGAACTGCAACGTTAATTATTTAGAGGTATTTGAAAATCTAATAACGACCGAACCATTCTGTTTGTCTCTATTCTCTTTGTCATCATTAATTTTAAGATCTTAAATAAATAAAAGTTAGACTTTTAATGTAAACCTCGAACTTTATTATCTGATATTGTTATTACAATTTACAGATATTTTTATATGAAACGCAATGTATACATAGAAGAACAGTTTAAAAAAAAATTACTTTTAGTGGATTTTCGACAAATCTTTTTACAACCTCTTATTCAAATCATTTAGAGGGGGACTGCGATTCCTGAAGTGTAAAGGTACTTTATTTTAAGGCGAGGAATTAAAAAAAAAATAATAATAATAAAACGTCCAAGGAAACTAGAATTAATTATTGACTTGGAATTGATCCACTGTCATGCAACCCAACTTCGTTAGATTTGAAAGATTCTCTGAATATTTAAACAGGCGTTGAAATAAAGAGATTATTTATATAGCTGAAAATGATAATTATACTTATTTTGACGAATGATTTGGATAATTTGTACTGGAAGAGGGGGGGGAAGGGGTGGAGGGGGGGGGGCGGATGGGCGGAGGACGGAGGAAGCGCGGTGTTGCCAGCTGGGCAGGTGACTAGCGGGCCAAATCCTTTTACCACGCCAGCGGGCAACCATGTCGCTACCCTCCATCCTCTTTTTCTTTATTACATCCACCATTGTACCTCTCATGTTTTATCTATTTTAGCTAAATTTACTAGTAATTCACAATTTTCAACTGATTAACAGATAATTAGCTTTATACTCCCCAAAAGAGAGTTCAAATGTGAGTAGATTTACAATTGGAACAACAGGATGATTCCTGGACCTCAAGTGATATAATGCCACAGTATCAGATTGCTAGTTTGATTTTTTAATGGACCAAGGCTGTTTGTTTCCGGGAGGTTCCTTATCAATTTTCTACAGAATATATGTTTGAATTTTGTTTCAGTTTGCATGCACTGTAAAAATTTTCATTAACTTAAAATTATTAAGAATCTCGTACTAAGACCAACATTCATATTCATACAAAGACTGGTTTTAAGGAAACGGTATGTTGCCTGCCTTATGAACATTCAACTGGGAACATGGAATGCTCTCTCTCTTTCCCGACCGGAAGTACTGATAAAAACAATATGTAGCCGTTGACTCACCTCGAGTTGTAGTAGTTGTAGAAGAAGAATTTCGTAAGTTTTTCTAAATGATTAACTAATTGACTGTATAGAAAAAAATCGATAAAAGACTAAATTATACCTATCCACCTTCAGAGCTCAACTTTGTCCAGAAAATAATTACCTGCGTGGTATTTACTTGAAATTTGATTGCCCTGCAAGTTTATGCCAAGTTCCAAAAGACACTTGATATGAGGTGTTTTATTCACAATTTCTATGCCTTATTCTCTTAAAACATTTCGGAGTGAAACAGTGAAAGAATCGATTGAAATGCGATGATTTGATATCACCGCGTGAGGTGAGGTGGAGAGGTGGATTTGATATCAGTGACTGTGCACTGAAATCCCTTGGGTGATAACAAGCCTATGATTGATTAAGATAACAATGATACTAGTATACGTAGCTTAGCCTACCTCAACTCGACTGTATTTATACCCAGAGACGATCTTCCTACATTTAAGTTTAGCATCAATATCCTTTTTGATTACTCCTTTATTTATCTAAACATAAAAAGTAGGAACGCACTTATTGATAGAGATTGCTCTTTTCGTTTCATCAAAAGTGTGATAGCTTCAAAGCTTATTTGTATTTGCTAATTTTGATGTTTATCTCGAAAGAATCTTCTAAACAAGGGGATCCCTTCCTCCTCCCCCTCCCGTGGTTGATGGCTCATTCCTACCTCCTCCCCCAATAAATGATTGCTACCCTCTTCTTAAAGTGCTAGCGAAAGTATAATTTAAAAAATTGCAGAACATAAAAAGGTTACAATTGCTCTCCGTGTTCCATCTTCGCCCCTTGTTTGAATGTTCCTTCAAATTGAAATCGCTCAAAACAATGGTCCCCTCCAAAAATTCACAACCCTATCAACAAGTGCTCCCCTCCAAAAAGTTAATAGGGTAATTAGCGCAATGCAACCTGCTCATGGGCAGCCCTGCGTCCAAAGAGTCGTAAGTGTAGAATTTTGTTTCAACAGAAGAGTACATCAGTGACGAGCAATGAAACAAGTTGGCTCCTACCTACTTGAATAAAAGACAATAATTGAGACCTCGACTAAGTTCCGCGGGTCATGGCTTTTGATAAAAAATATATGGTGCGGTGTGCGCATCACACAACTTTCTCTCACCACCCTCTTCTTAGCTGAAATAACTATTTTCAGACAAAGGGGAAGTGAAAGTAAAAATTATAGTCGCTATATTTATTTATATTTCATTATGGGTATTAGTATTTGTACAAGTACCCTTATTTATACAAATTTTAATATTTATATCAGTGTAATCTATATAATTAAATATTAAATAATACCGACAATAGCATTTATGAAAATCGCAAATGTGTATTTATTTAAAATTGTCGGACTCCGTATTATATTAAGCTCATGTTAGTATAGAAGCGTGTGTTCTAATCTTTCGGGCGAGCTCGGGTACGCTCGTATTCCTTTGGTTCCTAAATTGCAACTATTCTCTGTTACGAACTCTTATTTCTCCTTTTGTTAATTATCAAATTCTTTCATATTTTATATTTAACTATCATTTATATTTGAGATTAATGTGAAACGGTCAATTGTTTCAAATAAAACAAAATTGAAGGTACTTTAGGGAAAGCTAATATTGAAAATTAGACATTTAAGCCCTGTTAGGGGACATCATTCAGAATAAAACCTACGTTTTATTTAAAACTGCTTGATTCTGCACTGATATAATGAATTTAATCAAAATTGTTTGAGCCTTTTTCGAGAAAATCGTAAAAATGTGTATAGTCCATTATACAAAATGCAACTTCCGGTAAGCCGATTTTGACGAAAAAGTTGCTGCAATATCACTAGCATGTAAAAACCATAAATATGCAATTTCACTTTCGTACGACTTTTCGTTTTTGAGCTAGACTGTTAACACACACACACACACCATTTTGCGGGACTTATTTATTTGGACTCAGGGGACCTCAAAACATGTATTTCCGTTGAAAACTGAGATTCGAAAATTTTCATAATCGCCTTACTTTGCTTTACTACATATTTCACATATAGGTAAGTGAAAGTATAATATACATTTTTCTATTAATGACACTTCAGCTAAGAAATGAGCTGTCTAAGAGAGAAAACAAATGCAATAAATGTATCAGTAATCTAGTGTATGAGTAAATTGCTAATTTTCATATTTTTAAATTGTTACCATATAATAAAAGAGATTTTTGCGGGTCGTAGTTTGGAAACTCCTGTTTTAGATCATTATTTTTATGATGAATACCGAACGTGACAAAAGAGCCTTCACAATACTATTCGCGGAGGGATACAACTCAGCTAGCTGATAATATGTTGGGTTACACTAGAAGTGATAGATACTGTTTGGACGTTGAGTGGAGTAGATCTATGGTACTCGGTAACCGCTCCCCCCCCCCCTCCCCCACGTCATGACTAGTCTGGTTTTCCTGAGCGGTGAGTTATCGCAGCAACGCAGTTATTTTTAATGAATCACGAATACCACCTTCCGGTCACCATCCTCAAACTGGGTCAGCCCAGCTTTTTCCGGGAATCCTGCACTCAACCCTTTACCTTCCTCTGATCATCACTTTTGTATTAATAGCGGATGAAGAATGGCGGAATCACGTTTGACCCCTCCAATCACTATTTTAGAATAAAGTAATTCAAAATATTTCTGTTTAGTGGATTAATAGAATTCTAGTCCAGTTAATAGCTCAACAGCATTTCTCTTCTAGATACATTTATCCTAGAGTATTTCAAAGATATTTATAGTAATAATTTTCACCAATACTGCATATTACCACCAGGTCACGCTATAGTTAATTTATTAAAGGGAATATTGATGAATATAGCGATAAGGGGCTAATGCAGACCCTGCACGGTCATTCGGAATTGCATTCCGAGACACTATTGATTGGTCGAGTAAGGTACAGATTAGGTACTGATGGTCGTGTCTGGCGGATTTCCGGAAATCAAAGGTGCAATCAGGAGAAGTGGATGGGAGACTAACCCTACTACTAGATAGATAGTTTACCTAGGCCTCCTTACCATTGTAAATTCCTGATTTTCATTAAAAGTAAATAGTTTTTCATATCCCTTGTTATATTTTATAAACCATCTTCAACTATTTTTTTTAAATAGTCAAGTGGGCAATAAATTAAAAAAAAAAAGTGTAAACTTCACAATTTACTTATAGAAAAAAAAAAATCTTTAACTGGTGTGTATATTTGTCAGTTCTTTTTCCATTTTTCTTAACAAATTTATTATTTTTGCAATACTTTCCTTTTAATTTTTGTAAGTAGTTGACTTAAATTTTTCTAACTTTTGTCAAAATTATTTTCAGGCACTAGGAAGTAATTATTATACTCTATTTTCATCTTGATGTGCAATGCTATAAAGGATAATGTACAAATAAGCTTTTTAAATTAAAAACATTAAACATTAAACAAACGAGCTTTGGGGCTTTGCTAAACCGCCAAATTCCTCTCGTATCCAATCCCTTCAATCCAAAATCCTTCGTAAAATCCTTAATGCTCCCTACTTTGTCACAAATAAAATCATCCATAATGACCTTAATGTACCATACGTTTCAGATTTAGCTCAATCCAGATACCTGTCCTTTCATAATAAACTTCTGAACCATCCGAACCCTCTTGTTTCCAACCTTGCTTCCTCTTCTATCCCTGATAACCCTCCGTGGCGTCTGAAAAGAAGATGGCCTTGGGACCTTCTAATATAGAAATGTAATTGGAGTGTTACCAATGGGTGGTTTCTCTTCATGTTGTACATGTCATGTTGCTTGTTGTATTTGTATGTAATACAGTAAATTTCTATAAAAAAAAAAAAATTAAAAACATTATTATAAGTGGACAATGCACCAGATCCATGCTTCCTGTTATCTCTATGTCAACAGAGCTAAATGATCAGTAATGATTGAGCGTGTAGGATTCGTCATGATTGGAGCAATCCTTGTCAGTCTTGTGACTTACATTCCCGAAGTCCGCTTAAGACTCACTCGTAGCCGTGGGCGAGTCAGCTGAGTTGAAGTGGTGGGGAGGGCGTCTTGCTCTCGCTTGATCCATTGTTGTGCCATTGTTTTTCTTTTGTCTCCCAGCACTGTAAATTAATTAAAATATTTACTGAAATGGTTAACTGCATAATTTGTGCTAAGGCATTGAAGATGAAGAGCCGGTAAGACAAAGCTAAAATAACCTGTCAAAAGGTCAATATTTATTCCACAATTATTTTATTTTGTTATTATTTTGGTAAATTATACATTCTGTAAATTGTGGTTATAACAAAGATACGAACATAATATTCAATTTATTATTCTTATTAATTTATGCTTGTTTTATTTAATTTTATTTTTATGTGATCACTCAATAAACTAAGTTATTTTATTTGTGTTTTAGGTACGTTTCCATTGGTTCTTAGTTTTGTCATGCTCGTATTTGTTAAAGTAAGTATGTTTAAAAAAATATTAATAC